ACAGAGAGAGAAGACGGGAGGAGCGAGGGAGCGAGGGAGCGAGGGAGGGGAGTGGGGGAGGGGCGGGAGGAGCGAGGAGCGAGGAGCGAGGAGCGAGGAGCGAGGAGCGAGGAGCGAGGAGCGAGGAGCGAGGGAGCGAGGGAGGGGAGTGGGGAGGGCGGAGGAGGGAGGATCAGTGATCATTCGCTGTAGGTTCGCCGCAGCAGGAGGCATCTGCTTCCTGGTCCTCCGTCATCCCCTGCGAATTCTTCGCCTCCTCTGGATTTTGAGCACGCAGCTGCTCCTCATCTCAAGTCTCCTCAACCTCTACACGTGAAGTGCTGGAGGAGGAGGAGGAGAAGGAGGAGAGGAGGAGGAGTACGACGAGGGCCAAGGACGAGGACGAGGACGAGGATGAGGACGTGTCAGGAAGGGAGCATAGAGTGTAGTTGCGGGAGAAGGGAGGAGAGAAGATGGGGATCAGGCATGAGGGTTTTGATTAAATGTTACACTTGTAGGGAGGGACAGAGAAGGAGAGGGAGAAGAAGGAAGGAAGTGGAGACAGAGGAGGAGGGAGTTGAGGAGGAGGAGGGAGGGGGAGGAGGGAGGGGGAGGGGGAGGAGAGTCAACGGACAGCCCTCAAGTTGCCGCTAGGAGATGAACAGCATCTCCTCTCTCCCTGCCGCTGCAGCTCCTTCTGCACCTGCACCAGCAGTCAGCAACGGAAGTGAAAGACGGTCCAGCACGGGCCCAGCAGACCCCTCGCTCACCTTCCGACCGGGGGGTCGGGCTGCCGCCCAGCTGACCCTGGCGACCTCCGAGCTGGTGAAAGAAGGCGTGAAGCTCGCTCCTGCTGGGGGGAGGCGACGACAGGGAAAGCTCTCCCCTCTCAGCCTCCGGCGGAGCCTTCAGGTCGGCCTGTAGCTCAGGTTCAGCTGTGCTTGAGGGAGGAGGGAAGGGACGGGTGAGGGGTTGGGTGGAGGGGGCATTTTCTCAGCTCTCACCCCGTTGGAGCGAGACAAGGAGAGGAAGAGCTCGTCCTCTAGGCTCGTCCTCCTCTCGTTGGAGCTGCTGCGGGGGGAGGGCGTGTTGGGGCCACCGTTGACTGCGGTTTTGAAGAGAGAGTCCTGCTGGTGGTCAGCTGGAGGAAGAGGAGGGGGGGGAGGAGGTACGTCGAGAAGAGGAGAGGAGGAAGGTGGGGTGACAGGATAGTCCGCAGAGAGAAGTCCCGAGCTGGAGAAGGCCTGCGTGGTAGAAAGTCAACTGAGAGGGCGGAGAAAGGAGGTGGAAGAGAAGGGGGTGAGGGACAAGGACGAGGACAAGGACGAGGACGAGGACGAGGACGAGGACGAGTCACCTGCTGGCTGAGATCGAGGGAGTTTACGTGGGTAAGCATGGAGTGAGCTGTGGCGGCGATGAAAGACTTGAGGGCTCTGCAATGGCAATCAGAAGAGAGGACGACGATGGCAGGAGGCAGGAGGCAGGAGGCAGGAGAGAGGAACGAGGGAGAACGAGAGAGGAGAAAGGTAGGCAGGGGCATTAGAGGGAGGAAGGGAAGCAGGGGGGGAGGGGAAGGGAAGGGGAAGGGGAAGGGAGGGGTTCACGAGCTCACATAATCCTCTTGTCATGAGCATCTTGCAAGTTAAGGAGGAGAAGTCTCTTCTGCTGGAAGAATTTTCTCCGCTGAGGATTAACAGGTCAGAAGCAGAAAGAGGGTCAGGTCGGGAGCAGGAGCAGGAGAAGGAGCAGAGGGCAGAGAAAGAGGAGGCGACAGCAGCAGCGGCATCGAAGGGGGTTCAAGGGTAGAGGGGAAGGGAGAGAACGAGGGAGAGAGGAGGGAAAAGATGAATCGCAAACATCACCTCCTCTTCGAGCTCGTTCTATAAAAGAAAAAATCAGAAGCAAGAAAACAAGGAGAAGCGAAGGAGAATGAGAAAGGTGGAGTGAACGAGAAGAATTGGGTAGAGGAAGAAGTGGTGGGAAAGGAGGAGGAGGAGGAGGAGGAGCAGCAGCAGCAGCAGCAGCACAGGCAAGGGATTTAACCTGAGCTTTGATCTCGTCTCTTCGTTTCTCCTGCTCAAGTTCCTCAATCGCCTCCATCAGCTCCGCGATCTGCAAGCCCGAACGAGTCAAGAGCCCAGTAGCCCTTCACCCCCACCTCCTAATCCCTTACCCCCTTCCCCATCCCCACCCTCACCCCTCGCACCTTCCTCCTCCTTCCTCCCGTCCCCTCTCCCCTCCCTTCCTGCACGACCACCACCAACCACCC